AGTCATAGCAACAGTTCATAAATAACACTATTTCAAGTTGTTCAAAATAAAATGATTCATCGACATAACAGGAGTTAGAATTTACACAACATTCACAATTACATCAAAAACTTGACTTAATCGATCTTGGCTCAAGTATGCTCCCTTAAAATGCATGCAAGATTCAATTATCCAAGAATATGATCGGACCTCACATGCAAGAACTATCTTCTTCTTTCCTAGGGACTAACGAATCTTGGGTCACAAATTATCATCCCAACGAAGACACATGCAGGTCTTTGATGAATGAGATCCTCTTTAAATCCCATAAATCTTACTCAAATAATCAAGTAGGGAAAAGAATAACGAGTTTCGAACAACTAAAGAGAATAAACAGCTTTTTTTTAAAACATACATTTTCTTGGTCGAATGATACGAACAAATCTCAAGAACAACAGAAATCTTCGAGCTTTGCAAGGAGATGAGATCGGTTGGAAGGTGATGAATGATAGAGTGAGAGAAACGAAATGGCTGGAAATTTTGAAGAATGAAGAATTTTCAAAAGAGAAGGGGGTATTTATATGGGGCTATAATTAAAGAAATGGGCTAACTCTAAAGGCCCAAGCCCAAGAAGGCTTTTATTTACTAAATATAAGACCCCAATAAATACAACAAACAAAACAATTTTGACAAAAGATTTTTTTTTAAAACTCCACTCTTTCAAAATAATAATAGGCAACCAAATATAAAAGATTGGAACTTAGGAAATTTGGATTTTAAGAAGAACGAGACGAAAATATCAGCTTTATTTTTATGTGAAATATTTCAAGATTATTTGGCATTGCACGAACTAACTTGGTTAGCTACCGTCGAAACATGATCTAATCAGACTAATTAAACAAGACRATCTYTGGTYATCGAGGCTAAATCCTAAAAAGACTTAGTTTTCAATCAGGATCCTGTAATAAAGTGTTAACATGAAATCCCACAATGCAGAGTTGTCACATCCACCATCGAAAGAACCCAAATTCGTCGTTTTCTTCAAGGGTATGGCTGGATTTCCATTCAATCGGGTTGATTGATTGAATCCATGGTTGGCGATGACTATTGGGTTGAAACCCTAGGTGCGATTTTGATTGAAATTATTGGGATGGATTTATGGGGAAACTAAAATTGAACAGGTCGAGATGATTGTGAAGCGAAATCGATCAGGAACCAGTGTTGGATGGAGGGAAAATTTTAATAAACAATGTAGTTTTAATTTTAATATTAATTTTACATGTTATTTAATAAATATATTAAACGAATTAAAAAGATTCTAAATTATTCATTAATATACTAATATTAATAAAAACTAGCACAAGACAACTTATCTCGCTAATATTTAAAAAAAAATGTGTTTTTTGAAAAAAGAAAATAAGAATTGTTTATTTTTTACCAAAAAAAAATATTATCTTTTAAAAAATATATATTTATATTTGTTCAAAAACTTTTACTTGACGTATAAATATATTAAATCAATTAGATTTTTTGAATTATTTATTAATATAACAATATTAAAAAATGTAGATCACCATTTATTTCATTAACATTTTAGAAAAAAAATTAAAAGATATGTATTTTTTTTAACAATATAAAATAAGAAGTGTTACTTTTTTACAAACAAAATATATCTCGAAAATAATGTATCATATTTATTTAAAAAATATTTTACTCTAGAATATTTAATTTGCATGCAATTTAATAAGAAAAAATCAAAAAAATTAAATGTTTTTTTAAATCATAGCAATAAAAAATGAAAATCACTAATAATAATTTGAAATAGGTTTTTATTTTTATTTTAATTAAGTCATCAAAATGATGTGTCATTCACATCATCTTATTAAAGCCACACAAGCAAAAAAATCAAGGGGTTAACCAGTTTAAAAAGTAACAGGTTACCCATTGCTGTAATGGGTAGATTTTTTAAAGTGCGATGCCTTAATAAAAAATAATCTTAAAGTACATTGTTGTAATAAATAAAAACAAAAGTAGAATACTATAATAAGAAAATTATGAAAATAGATTGTTATTTCATGCATTTAACCCAATAATAAAAATGTATCTTTTTGATAACATTTCAACTTACAGTTTGATCAAAATTAAGACAAGAAATGATTTTTGTTCTTCGTCATCACTTCAGACGAATTCTATTTGTACAACCATTAGGTTCTATCAAACGTGAAATTATTGTACTGAAAGAAAATTTTCAACAAAGCAATGTGAACCCATTTTCTATAAATTTGTTACATGTTAGTTCGTAAACACGTTTTCACTTTTTAAAAAAAAACATATAGTTTAATTGTTTACAAAATATTCACTCTTTTGCTTAAAAGTATGAATCAATAATAAACAGTCTCACTAATATTAAAACTAAAATTCTGTTATACATGTAGATAAATCTTTTCAATTTTTGATCAACTTTTTTTAAAGTATATAATATTTATATATGGTAAATATAACAAATAAACTCATACATCCTCTTCACATTTGATTAGGTTTGAAAATCTGACCTTTTAGGAGATAAAAGACTACAATATCGCTAAGCTACTGCCAAAAACTCTTTGGTAATTTTTCATCTAACTTAATTATCAAGAGATACATCCTCAAACACCCATTTCTTGAGCAACATGAAGATTGCCTTGAATGACTTAGATTTTGCAAATGTATTAAAAGAACAAAAGGGCAAAGATGATACAACATTATATTGTCTATGGGTTTATATTAGTAAACCCCATTGGATGATTATATCCACAAAACAACTAAGAGTTCGTTTACTCAAATACTTACAAGTAAGATTCAATATTATCTCTTATCTTAGTGAGTAAGATTTTTACTCCATCAGATGACATGGTATGTAACAATTTATCCGGTAAACGTTAATCGGGTAAGAGTCGTCATCTTCACCTACCGAGTAAAACTCTTGGTCCTTCCCATCGTTGTTGCCGGGTAAGATTCTTGAGCATTAACATGTTCATCTGGTAAGAGCATCTCCAACAAATTCCCTAAAAATTTCTCCAAAATGAAGAATCAAAAGTCAAAATCTCCAAAAAAGATTGCATTGATCTCCAACATATCAACATATTCGCTATTTTGGAGAATCCAACATTGATTATAATATTAAAAATAAAATATTATTTCTGTTTCTAAATATTCATTTTCAAAGTTTTCTATCGATGGTCTCACTCAGTAATCATTTTTGAGGTGTTGTCCATATTCAATTTCTCCATTTTACAGTTCAAGAAATGTTTAATGGGTGTGTAAAGCTTTTGGTGAGGTTTAATGGTTGTGTAAAAAGTTTGGTCCATGTGTTAAAAGTTGGGAATTGATATCTTGTTAACTCTTATAAAACTATCAAAGCTTCAAAATCGTTTACAAAATTTACAGCTCCTGCTGCATTGCACGGATATACAACTACAACTATTATTTATATACAACAAATTATATAATATTTATATGCGACAAATGAATTCATAGATAGAATGAAAGAGGATGAAACATGCACATACTTGTAACTTCACCCCAAAAGGGTAAGGTCTGAAAAGGGACCCTAAGGAAGTAGAATATTTCTGTAAGAGTCTAGTTAGTAGATGCTAAATTTAAGTGCTACCATAACTTGAAAGCAAAAATAAAAGCAGTTTTTGTACAACTGAAACAGTAGATGAGCCTAAAAAGAGGTTGCTGCTAGTTTTTCAAACTCAACCTTCCAATCCATGATTTCATTACCAACCAGATACAAGTTTGATTGCAACATCATGATTTCCTCATCCTTCACATTCTTCTTCTTCACACTCTGCACCAGTTTCTCTTGTAACTCCTGCATTTTAGCTTCCAGTTCATCGACTTCCTCTTTGATTTTGGACTTTTCAAGATTCCGCTTCTCTAGTTCTTTCTCGACTTGTTTCAACTTATCCTTGAGCTCACCCAGTTTGGCTTTTCTAGCGAGTAGTTCATTCAAACGAGCTCGAACAGCACCCACATCAAACCCATGAGTCTCCAACTCCACTAAAGTTTCCAAACTGTTGTCGATTATGTCACTGGGAACATCCGGCTGCAGTTTTGAAGTTCTCTGAACCACATTCGCAAATGTGACCATGTGTCCGATGGCTAAACCCTCACGGTAATCCTCTTTCATTATCTTCAACAGAAGAAAGTGCGGCTTTTGTGGCGGATTCTGGTATAACTCCAGAGATTCAATGGTCGCCCAGATTGGAGACCGTTTGACAAAAGGCCACTCTTGTTGGTATTCGCTGATTTCATGATTGTTGAGAACGGCTGGATTCGATGCATCACTTGGTTCATCACATTTGTCAACATTGCTAGAACGGGAACTTCCTAAGTACGCCAACATGAACAACAGATTAGATAAAAAAAGACAGTAAATCTCACAGAGGTAGTATGTACCATGTTAATCCAAATTCGCATGGATATTTTTAGTTTCTTCTTTCCAAATGTTTCCATCCTAATACCCTATATAGTTAAGGCCAAAATGTATTAAAATACAACAAAGTTTGCTTTAGTTCCTATTTAGTGTAACGATGAATAGTTTTCCTCAATTAATGTAACAAATGTTGAACTTTTCCTATGTTGTACCCATTTTGACCGCATTTTACAGCCATTGATCACAAGTTGTCAAGTTATATTGTAACTATAGATTATGTAATATGTCACATCCAAATCCACTGGGTTGAAAACCATTTACCAAGAGGGTACGAGATATGAAGAATTGAATGTTTGTAATTGTCGCTAACTAAGGAAAATAATTCATGATTACATTAAGTAGAAACTAAAACGAACTTGGTTATATTTTGATTGATTTAGCAGCATAAAATGTAATCGATGGTATATGGTACCTTGTAATAAACCCATTGGTATTTTAACCACTGACTTTGGTGGTCTACCCCTCTTTCTTTTATGTGGGCTCTTACCATCCTCTGTTTCACAAGTTCCCTGTTGGGAACAACAAACAAATCAAACATTAATCTAAATTTTTAGTGATTTTGGTAATTTGTATCTAATCATCTGCAAAATTATCCAAAAGGCTGTCTAAATTTTAAGAAGAAATCCGGTCCCGCCCACCTTGCCCGTAATGGCCTTGGGATCAGTACACACTGAGAGGTAGCGCAAACCCTTTTTGTACAACTTCAGGGTCCTGTTCTCTTTCATGGTTTGTTCCATAATGGAATCACATTGTGAGAAATCGACAATAAAACGACATACTTTCACTTTACCATACCGCTAATAACCAAAAGATGATATGCCCAGGCGCAAGGAGGCGGGAAATCAATTGTGAGGTCTCCTGCTCTAGGGTAAATGCAATTTACCTCCATCGTGATGGAGACCCTCCAGAGGGTGGCGTGTACCCATTTTTGAAATATTATATGTTACAGTGAAAAAATGATTTTGGAAAATGATGGAAATGGAA